TTTTTTAGACTTTGAGGTAGAAATAGTGTCCTTTAAAAAGACACACATAAAATGATTACATAAGAAAAGATTGATGTATTTGACTATATTATAATGAAGTTCTGACCAGCAGAAGAATCCTAATCCAACTCTATCTTACTTCCAAAGCACATCCATCTCCTCACATACTGTAGGTTTTACTTATTTATTATATTGTAGTGAATCGTCTGACCATCCTCATCAGAAATGTAGACTCTATTAAGGCAAGGGTTTTTGTGTTTTGTTCACTGGCTTATTCCCAATACCTATAGCACTTATATCACACAGTAGGTACTCAATAAATAATGTTGAAGTAATTATTGAAGGAATAAATGAATGGAATTGAGTAAGGCAATAAGTTACATAATTCAATTCTAAATATCAATTTTAAAACTAAACTCTAAAACATAATGGCTCAGTGAACTTGAGTAGGATCCGATTTTGATGAAAAATTCTGCAACTCTTAACTCAATCATATCATTTCATACTGTCACCGAATCCCGAGGACTACTCTGATGATAGGATGCCTGGATTCAAATTCTGACGATCTCATTAGTTAACCAAAGAAAAGTGATCATAGACAAGTCATGTGAATTCAGGGTCCGCCATTTCCTTATCTTTAAAAAGAGGGAAAATAATAATAGCCAGTTCCTAATGTTGGCCTGTAGAGTCCATAGAAGAACAAATAAAACAAAGAGGTGGGTTGGTACTGTTACCGCTTTGACCGGTGACGAGTCCTTGCTTCCCCGATGTTGAAGAATAACACCAGAAAAGCACAGGCCGAGGCAAGGTCAGAGTAGAAATTAGAAGTTTATTAAAGGACAGCAGAAAAGACTTCTCCCGGAGGAAGAAGGGGACCCAAGAGGTGGAATCCAGTTGGCGGGCAAATGTGTTCCCCTTTTTATAGGTTTGGTGATGGAATGCAAGGGGGAAGGGTTAGGACACAGGTGGGCCAAACGGGCAGGAAGGACTTTTGGGATGGGCTTATCACTTCTTTGGGATGGGCTATCTCCAAATCTGTTGGGGGCTGTTTCCTGGGCTCTACTAACATTTCTTTGGGGTGGACTTTGGCCTAGAGCCTTTTCTGGACTTCATTAACATTCCATGAGTTGTCCTGTGTTTCCCGGAATCATTCTCAGCATGGCCTCCAAAGATTTCACTCGATATTAGACCCGATTTACCTAACCACACTGACTACCTAATTTTAAATCTGGCTTCAGTACCAGCATTCCGGTGATGAGAACTGCTGTTGCTTATGTCACTCAATAGGCTTGAGTGGGCCTGGCCACCTCCTCATCAGCATCTAGATTCCTTCTTTATGTTCTAAGCTGCTGTCACCTTGAACTTTTTCCTAAATGTTCATATTTTCATTCACTTTCAGGTCTTTGCACATACTACTCCTACTACTTAGAACACCCTTTCCCTAATTTATCTGTTACTCATTGTGCACATCTTATCTCTGAAATCCTCCCCTCGGAGGATTCTTCTTCACCTCTTTTGCACTCCTAGGATCCTTCTTCACCTCTTTTGGCATAAGAATAAGCACCCTTCCATACACTTACATGGGCCCCCCATGGCTGGGCACCATTGAATAAAGGATCGATATCAACTGAATGAATTGCAGCACTATTCCTAGCATGACTAGACAGCTTTCAAATCGTACTCACTGGCACAAAAGTGATCGATTGCAAAGCTTGGAAATTAGCAGAGACTAAGAAGTACTTTTCTTCCTTCTCACACCACAACATTCTCTATCACCTTCATCCTTCATATCCATGTTACTTGTCCAAGTTAAAGGGAAGACTGATTCACTCATGATCCAATCCCAGGAGAAATACCACATCTCAGAAGGCTTTATAGACAGCTTTTTGTGCTGTGAGTTGAGGCAGACCTTCTTCATAAGGAATGCTCAGGAAAGCCTTCCAGCCCACCCTCAAAGCAGGAACTCACAGCTCTGGGATTTGGAGCTGTTGGAAAGCTAGCAACCACACAGCTAATGCTACCATTTTTTTTTTCCTCATGGATCTCAGATATACCTTGCACCAGGCCTGGTTATATCTTATTAATATCAGGTATGAGTATCCCTGGCACATGAGGGTAAGGCAGGATCTCCATCCCTTTCACTGTAACCTTGACTAGAAGTAGCTTTGAAGATGACCAATAGCCAAGTGGTAGAAAAATGTTGGCAAGATGGAGTGTTTCCCTCTGACCATCCCATTCCCTCCACTGCCCTCTGGCTTGATTCCCATTCCCCGTGTCATAAACACGTTGTCCTCGTTCCCTTTTGAGTACAGCTGGTGTCATCTCTGTCCAGATTGCCTTCCAGGGCAGACACCCAAGCTTCAAGGACTCACAGTCTGTACTTAGACCATCTTTTGGGCATGTGAGGTGGGGCTCACAGACTCCCTTGGAGCTGAGCTCTGCTGGTTTTGAAGGGACAGCACATCTGAAGAGTATAATAAAGCTTGTCTTCTTAGAGCACATAATAAGTATTAGCCACAAACCTTTCAAAATATCAAAGGAAAGGCTGGGGCTGTAGCGCAGTAGTGGAGTGCTTACCTGGGATGTGTGAGGCACTGGGTTTGATTCTCAGCACCACATAGAAATAAATAAAACAAAGGTCCATCTACAACTTAAAAAATATTTTTTAAAAATAGATGTTCTCTCTCTTAAAAAAATCAAAGGAAAATGTATTATAAGAGAAAATATGCACATTAGAAGGAAAAGAATCTTTTCCTCCAAAATCAACAGAAATGCCAGATTGTATAATCTACCATATCAATCTCATTCTTTCATTAGGATTTGTGGAGATAGGAAGTTCTTACATTTGGCTCAATTCTAGGAACTATTAATGAGCAACAACTGTATACTAATGATATGTACCATGCCATAGACTTTAAAAATGGACAAATAAAGTCTGCCTACCCTTGAGAAACGAAGACCCGTTGTTTAAGCCATAATTCCACCTCTATCATTTAATCAGCAAAACTTCTCATATTTTTTCCTCCCTTCATCTAGAGGTTACCATTTCTTTAATGAATTTAGTTTACCATTATCTGGAATCTTTCTATCCAGTGCTCTTAAGACTTTGTTAAGGCACATCCTAGAACTGTATAGATAGTCGTCAAGATTTAGACAATACATAATTTTCTCCAAGGTGAAGTCATATTTTTGCTTATTTCTCATGGTTTATAGGTGATATCCAATGGCAAGTTAACTTTTGTTGACTTTAGCAGCACAATTGGAACAACATAATCAATGGTGTCTATATTGACTTTTTGGACTATTAACTATCAGGCATAGTCTAACATTTTCCAAATCTCTTTTTGATGCCCAAATGTGACAAAAGCATATTTATATATAACTATACCAAAGCTCCATATTATTTTCCCAATAATTGAGATAATTTTATGGGGGTGATCTTTACGATACATTCCTTTGATTTGATAGTTTGAACTGTTCTACTTAAAATTTTAATAGCTCAATGAGAATTCTTTTTTTTTTTTTTTAAGAATTTCCTTTTGAAAAGAAAGTTCCATGATGAAAAGCTGTATTAAAAACCATGGTGTAAAGAGAGGATTTAGGAATTTAGGAACTAGACTATCTTAAAAAAATTTTTGTGTTCTATCCCTGCCATTTACTCTGTATGTGAATTTGACCTCATCACTGAATCCCTCTGAAATTCAGTTTCCTCAACAGCTGTATTAGTCACAGTTTCATTATTATAACAAAATGCTGGACACAGGATATTTATGAAGCATAGAAGTGTACATTTAGCTCCCAGTCTTGGAGGTTCAAAGTCCAAGATTGGGAAGCTCCATTTGTTTGGTCTTTGGTGAGGGAGATGAAAGGTAGCACATCATGGTGGCAGCATGGTCAGGGGCAAATGGTCACATCTTGAATAGGAGGAAGGTGGGAGGAGGAGAACAAGCTCCCACAATCTCCTTCAAGGTAAACTCCTAATAACCTAAGGAACTCCCACAGGATACCACTTCCTAAAGGTTCTACAACTACCCAATGGCGCCATCCTTTAACATACAGATCTTTGAGTGATACCGTGGCAGTGAAAGAGGGGTGACAGTTTTTACTGTAGACTGGCATGAAGATTAAGAACAATGCCCAGAAGATATTTAGAAAGTGCCCATGGCACTATCTAACAACTTTCTGCAATGATGAAAACTCCTCCTCTTGCCCTATTATGTAGTAGCTACTAGACACAGGTAGCAACTGAGTACTTGCAACATGTGACACAGGAATTTATTTTAAATTAAATTAAATTTATATTTAAATAGCCTCATGAAGTTACTGTATTAGACACCACAGTTCTACACTGCAGTAAGTCCTCAGCAGATGACAGTCATTGGTAGGATTAATAGTGGGAAGTTTGGATTTCCTATCCAAGATGGTCTAAGAGAGAGAATAAATTTAAAAAAAAAACACTCCAACAAAAGAATTCTCATTAAAAATTTCTGAGAATTTTCTAAGATATTTTATGGCATATTGACCTAAGAATATCTAAATATGATCTGAAGCCCACCAATGTTGTGATTTTCCTATAGTATAAATGCGATCTTTTAGATACTCACAGCCTCATATCATTGGGAACCTTCTTATCCATGTGGGATAAAGAAGGGTCCTCCTAGCTCTTAAGTGGAGAACCATGTATCTCTTGATACTTAAACCCCTCAAGTTTCCAAACATTTTTTTTAAAGAAATTTCTATCAGAGAATGCATTTCTTTTTTTTTCTTTTCTTCTTCCTCTTTTTTTTTTTTGTATTTAAGATCAGCTCCATCCAGAAGCTGAAGAAAAAAAAAAAATCTCTGAATGCGACAGATCCCAAATTCCATACGCTTTGTTCACCTTGCCATCAAACATGAAACAGAATTGAAGACTACTCAGTTCAGTCAATAAATACTGCTGCAAGTAATTTTATCATGCATTTCTCAGTAGTAACTCTTTGCCAGTTTCTAAAAATACTTACCATTTTGGGTCAGGTGGCCTTGGAGACCTCATGGTTTGAGTAACTTGGACTTCAATAGCTCCAATGGCTGCACTCCAGTGACTGTCCAGATCTAAAGAGATGGTTTAAAACATGAAAATTCCTTTGTTTATAGTTTAGAGCCTTGATTTTATAGTCTGAGTAATTAGGATGCTTCTAAAACTAGCAATTTGAAATAGAAAACTAGAAATTAGTGGCATGCTTTATAACCAGACATGAAGAGACTGATATATTGGTATTTTCCAGCCAACCCAAACAGTGATGAGAAATTAGCCAGAACCTTAAGCAAGTATGAAAGCTTAAGGTAGGTGGACATGAGGCTTTGAGGCAGACATATTCTTTGAAACCTATAAACCAGTACCAAATAGGACAGGAGGACAGGCAAATCGCAAATAATAGAATGTTGGTGCTGGAAGGATCCTAGGGATATGCCAGTTGAACTGTTTGTTCTACAGAAAAGACTGAAGCCCACCAATATTGTGATTTTCCCCTCGTCACACATCATCAGCTCATGTCAGAGCTCAGAATTGGCTATCACCTGGCTCTCATGATAGTGTTCTTTCTAGTAGAGCAAAGTTGCCCAACCTGGGGGTAGGTCCTTTCCTTCTTAATAGGCAACATACCCTTGCACGAAGAGAGGCATGTTCCCTGCTCACAGAGATTCTTCATCCAGTCCACCAATTCTAAGCAGTCCCAGAGCTCAAGAGAAGGCATCTGTATGGGTGGACTTTCAAGTTATGTTAGCAGAAACACCTGGAGCCCCATCTACTTACTGAGTCCTACCAGACCAAGTTTAGGGCCCCTAGTAGGAACAGAAGGATTCAGCTCCCCAGGGATATAGAGAGTGCTGAGCAGATGGCCTCAATCACCAAATGATGCTGAGTGTGTGGTTGACTACACAAGGGAAGAGGGATGTAGTCACAACACAATCCTGTCTTCCCTGTGCAGGAGCAAGCTCCTGATCCACAGTCTGCAAAGGTAAATTCCTGCTACAGAATCAGCTGGGTTCACAGACTGTAGAAGCCAGAGTGCCCACCACTACCAGGCATTCTCCTAGCCTAGGAGGCTGGGATGACACTAGAGAGTCAAGCATGAAGTTTAACTTCAGAGCTCATTTACTCACTCCAAAAACAATTCTTGAGAACGTATCAAGTTCTATTCAAAACATACAAAATCTGGACACCTTTAAGTCCATCGTATTTGCTAAGTGCAGACAGTGCTGTGGGTGCAGAAGTTACAACTTGCTTGGATCCTGCCATGTTGCTCCCACCTCCACCATCCTGTGGGGCATTGTTTGCACCTCTGCAATGGCCCAATTCTATTTTTGATATTTCTTCCTGAATATCTACTTTCCTTTTTCTAGAATATTTTATAATTACTCCTGGGCAAGGAATGGAGATTGCTTCATGATCGCTGAGTGAAATATAAGCAAATCTGTTACTGATTGCTAGAGACAGACAAAATTGACGGTGATCACTGCTGTAATTCAGTTGTTTTCTGTCCTTCTAGTTGCTTATCTACAATGTGTTTAGCACTGTACTCTGTGCACAACCTAATGCTGTATGCCCTTTCTTCCAGATATTTGCAATCTTTTTTTTTTTTTGCAAACTAGAGAAGGGAGAAAAGGTAAATATCCAAACAATCCAATGTTAAAGTAATTAAACAAGGAAATGCAATATTCCAACCAGGTGGTTGGTAAAGGGAGCAAGAGCATACAGATGAAAGGCTTCACGAGGAAGAAAGGATGCAATTGGTCTTCAATGATGAATTGATGAACAGAGAGAGGGAAGAGGGGTGGGCAGCTTGGGTGACAGATGAAGCATGAGGAAGGCACAGAATCAAAAATAAAGGCAAGTTGAGTCTAAAGTGGAAGTAAGTGTTAGGCACTTCAGAAATTTGTTTTGCCACTTTTGCTAATTTTGGAGGTATGAAAAGATCAGGTTATAATTTCTTTTTCTGAATCTACTTGCATTTCTGGTGGCAGACAAAATTTTTTTTTTCAATAGCCAATCTGAAATGATTCCATTTGAGACCCTACCAGTCAAAAGGTGTTTGGGGGAAATAACGTTGCCTTCTATAATTGGGGAAATAGTTTAGTCTTTAGTCTTCCATATTTATACTCATGTGTTTTAGTCAGCTTTTTTTTTTTTCTGCTCTGACTAAAAGGACCTGACCAGAACAGTTGTATAGGAGGAAAAGTTTATTTGAAGGCTCACAGTTTCAGAGGTCTTAGTCCATGGAAGGCCGGCTCCATTCCTCAGGGCTCGAGGTGAGGCTGAATATTATGGCAAGAAAGGGTGGCAGAGGGAAGCAGCTCACATCATGATCAGGAAGCAAGGGGGTGGGCAGATTCCATTTGCCAGAAACAAATATATACTCCAAAGACATGACCCAATTCCCACCTTCTCCAGGTACACCCTATCACTTCAGTTACCGCTGAATAGTTAATCCCTATCAGGAGATTAATTCACTGATTGGGTCTAGACTCTTATAACCCAATCATTTCTCCTCTGAACCTTCTTGCATTGTCTCACTCATGAGCTTTTGGGGGACACCACATCTAAACCACAACAAAGTGGTTCTCAAACTTTAGTTTTTATCAAAATCACCCAAAAAAACTTAAAACAGATGACTGCACCTCACCCTGAGAGTTTCTGGTTTGGTAGGTCTATAGTGGGGCCTGAGAATTTGCATTTCTAACAAGTTCCTGCGATGCTGACATTGCTGATTGGGGACAACACCGAATACACGGATTAAGAGGACGATGCAGTGAGCTTTCCCATCCTTGCCTGTGACACTTGGAAGTGACACCAGCCCAGGTATGAGGAAATAGTTCATATCAACAACCTGAATATAAAAAAAAAAATAAAGTATGTCAGTGATTAAATGCTCTGAGTTTGTTTTTGAGATTGTGCAATATAAAAGACAAACGTTACAACATGACTTCTAGGTATACAAAGGCTTTTGACAGTAAACGGAGTCATATCAACTTTAGTCAGATAAAAAGAGAAGGCAGGGTTATTGCCACTGATTTTGTGTTTGTCCTTTGACATGGTATGGATGTATTTATCAGGGTTCTCCAGAGAAACAGTGAACAATAAGGTGTGTGTGTGTGTGTGTGTGTGTGTGTGTACAAAGATTTATTTATTTTACAGAGTTGGCTTACATGATTATAGAGGCTTGATGACCTCCAAATCCAATGGTGCAGGTCAGCAGAATGGGGAATCAGAGAAGAACTGAAGTTCAGGTTTAAAGACAGTCTTCTGGTGAGCCAGGAGGAGCTGGGAGGAAGTCCAAGGGGAGTCTGCTAGTGAGTTCCCTCTTGCTTTTGGAGATCAGTCTTTTGTTCTATTCAGGCCTTCAGTGGATTGGATGAAGCCCAGCTATTAATGCAGAACAACCTGCTTAACCCTAGGTCCACGGACATAAATGCAAATTTAATTCAAAACACCTTTGTATAAATGACCTGAATGATGGTTGACCAAATATCTGGGCACCATGGCCCCGCCAAGTTGACACATAATATGAACCTTTGAAAGAGGTTTATTCCATTTTATATGTTTACTTTGCTTTTGCTTTCAAGTTGGGTTCACTTCGATGTTACACATGCTTTTGCTTGCCTAAAGTTCCAGCGATTGTCATTGAATAATGGGATCTGTAAAGATATCATTGTGAAAGAAGGAGTTTATAGCTTATTCATTTCTTCATTCAGTGAACACCTAGTGCTAATTTTGTGAAAGCCTCTTGGGATGGATTGGTTTTAGTCAGAAGGAATCTCTGAGACTTTGGTTTAGGGATATATCCATGGTGGTGAGAGAGTGAAGAAGGACCAGGCTCTGACTTGGCTGTGTCCACTCTGGGGAAGCATTCATATCTAGGTTTGTGGATGCCAGTGGTGAAACACCAGAGGTGATGCGTTAGTCAGCTACAAGGGTTTCAGTACAAATGAAGTAGTGCTAGGGAAGATGAATTAGGAGGCCAGAAAGATATCAATCATAGGGACAGATGGTCCTCCCCAGTGTGGGTTTCTCTGGACCTTTGCATTGAAATCAAGGGAAGTTTTTCTTTTTTATTTACATCTAAGGCTAGTTGACTACTTTGGTGTCCCATGAAAAAACAACTTGTTGAGAACAGATGAAAGAAGAGTGCAGTGCACTAAAGAGGACCCCCGCCCCATATGATATGTCGGTGCCAAATCCCTACAACTATGAACATGACCTTATTTGGAAAATGGTTTTTACATATTACATATATGTATATATGTATGTACATAAATATATGTTGACTAAGATGCATATGAAGTTCATTCACTTTTTCATAGATTCTATTACTCACTAAAACTTATTTGCAATCCCAGAATCCATACCCACGGCACTTTTTCAGGCTTTGTGGACGTGCATCAAGTAACAAAATATTTGAACTACCTGATGTGAATGTCCCCAGCTAAGGTTGGACAAGACAACACTCCACCTTTTTTACCTCTCATTGTGTAAACAAGTGTCCTTTCCGGGGTCTGTTTGTACCTTTTTTTTTTTTCCATTGATTTCCTGTTCAGAATGGTCCCTGAGCATACATGCTTAAGTACTTTCTAGTGTCCCTAAATGTAAGAGAGCTGAGTTGTGCCACATAAAAAATACACACGTTGGTAAGCTTTGTTCTGGAATGAGTCACAGTGCTGTTGGCCAAGAGGTCCGTATTAAGGAATCATATCACATATATTCGCTCAAGTGTCTTTTTAACAGAAATACATAGAAAACAAGGATATGTTTCAACCAGCAGAGGAAAATGTGACCAGAGTCTCACAGAAGCTTGTATTTCTTCCCAGGACTGATGTGTCAGATTTAATTAATGCAGTGTTTACAGTGGCTTCACAGATTGTAACTACCATGAATAATGAAAAGCCACTGTGTGTGACTATAAAAAGTATTCGGTATAATTCTGACATGGATTTTCACATGTTCCCTTGAAAGAGCCTTAACCAAACTGTGCCTTGATCCATCCTGGCACTCCTTTCCCACATCTTGGCTCACTCCTGCTACGTCAGTGGTTTCCTCTAAGACATTTTCAAATGCTAAATTTGAGGCTCAACTCGAAGTAAGAAGCCAGCACTTGAGAAAGCAAAAACAATGTCTTTCATGCTTAATTGGAGAAAGTTATTTCTAGGAAGAAATCAAGAAACAGACACAGGACAGACAGCCAGAAAATACTCCTTGGCCCACTGTGGGGACTGCACTTGTGATGTGGTCCATTGGTGTTTCCTGTGTTCACATGTTTGAATCTTGTAATTCATATGTCAATAGTTATCAGAGAGATGACTAGGTATCTGTTTCCTCCAAATGTAGCATGCTGTCTGTAAGTTAAGAGAACTGTGTAATCCAAGAGAATCCAGAATTGGAGGATTAGAGAAACCAAAAAGAGGTTTAGTTGGAAAAGACAGGGCATCTACAGTGCAGAATTGGGAAGCAGTGTCAGAAGCAAGCACTCATCGAGGGGACGGAAGAGACACACACTCAATCTGTTGCCTGAGGTCTCAATTGGAAAACTTCAAGGATTCTTCCAACCACTGCAAACCAAGGAGTCAGGAGGTGGGGCGTGGGAAAGTACATGACTATCGTCGCCCCTCTGTAAATTGCAGCAGTAACTGGGGACACAAAGGCCCTTGAGAAAGCAGCTGCTTTCCTCCCCCACACAGCTCGACTAGCAAGAGGAAAGATTACATAAGAGGAAATTTGCTTAGCCCATAACAAAGTTTATTAGCTTAGCAGATCTGTTTGTTTAATGAATGTCTATTTCTGAGGACTCCATTCATCAAATTGGCTTAGGCTTAGTAGACTGTGAAAACACTGTCAAAGACCCACAAAGACAGCACACACAAAAATTCTTACAGCCCAGGGTCTGAGAGGGTTAGAAATAAATACAAGAATGAAAGATAAGTACTAACTATCGAAGAATCTGAAAAGACTTTCTCAAGGCTGGATAAAAGAAGGGACTGGAAGGAGCAGTGGTGGCCGAGATGTCTTTTAAGCAAAGGAGGTCAGAGGCTGAGTTGGGTTTGGGACAGTTATTTATCAAAGCATCAGTGCAAACTATTGGCATCACTACAAATACCTAAAGTCAAAATAGGGGAGATGAAATTCTGCCACTGAGTTCAGAGGTCAAAGGGGGACTAAAAATGAGGAATAAAGTCAAGATGAGGAAAGACGGTGAGTAGTGGCAGTACCTATACTTGGCTCAATGCCAGGAAAAGTGTGAACACAGAAGTCTGTCTGAATGGTGCCTAACAGATCAGGCTGTGTGTAACCAGCACCCATTTCATCCATGGATAGAAAAGTGAAACAAGAAACTAGAGAGTTCCTGTACAAAAAGATAAAAGATGCTATGGTTTGAACTTGTCTCCCAAAAGCTCATGTGTTGGAAACTTAATCCCCCTGCCCCCGTGAGTGGATTAACATTGCTATCACTAGAGTGGGCTCAGTATTACCAGGGTGGCTTTGTGATAAAAGGGAGCTCTCTCTGGCATGCTCGCTCTATCTGGACCCATGATGCTCTACTCCACCGTGTGACGCAGCAGAAAGACAGAACTTTACCAGATGCCAATGTCATGTTCTTGGACTTCCCAGCCTCCAGAACTGTGCACTGAATAAACCTCTGCTCTTGATAAATTACTCAACTGTGGTACTCAATAATAGCAATAGAAAACGGATTATGATACCAGAGAATTGCTAAGAACAAAGCTAGCATTTTTTTTTCTCCTTTTATCGGCTCTTCATTTTAAAAGCAAAGACACCTTAGAGGAGAATCAAGTTGCAATGGAAAGAGGAAAGATCTAGCAACCCAGATCAAACCATTCCCTGAGATGCTGCTAATTGACCCAATATCCTGATTCTGGTTTATCTCTCACATGGGGACGATGCTCTGCCCTCTTCAGGCCTAACTAGTTACTCCTCCCTCTGCTTAGCTTGCTCTCCTGCAGGATATCAGCTTGCCCTCTCCCTCTTCTTCTCTAGGGCTTATTCTTCTTAAAACTTCCCACCTCTTGCAGGGTGCAGTAATCCCATAATCCCAGTGACTGGGAAGGCTGAGGCAAGAAGATTGCAAGTTCAGAGCCAGCCTCAGTGACTTAGGGAAACTGCCCACCTCCTGACCTGCTCTAATCCCACCCCCTATTTTTCTGTCTCCAAAACACATCATTCTTTACTATATAATCTAATTCACTTGTAGTTATGCTTATATTCTGTCCTCCATCAGAATGTGAAATCCTGGAAGGCAGAGATTGTTATCTCTTTTGGATCCTAAACTCAGAATCAAGTCTAGAACACAGGAGACACTTGGAGAATATCAGATGCATGGAAATGGAAGAGAACACAACTTCGCTCCTCCACAGGATGGCTTTCCACTTCCACTGAATGGTTCCACCCAGCAAAATGTCTGCTCAGCACTTTGCTATCTTGCCACTTGACTTTCACTCCAGTTCCTTCTGGGACTGCAGGATCTTTCAATGGACTTTTAATTTCTCCCATTGGCTGCTGCCTGGGAAAGAGCATTAGGAAATGCAAGGTCAGGTGCAACTGGTTTGTTGACCTTCTGGTGAAATGAGACAGGTTCAGAGAAGAAGAGGCTGGAGTGAGACTGCTGATAGGGGGCCCTGCAGAATATTCTCTTAGAGCCGAATATTTCATAGGCTTTCAAAAAATGCATGCTGGGCTGGGGTTGTGGCTCAGCAGTAGAATGCTCGCCTAGCACATGCAAGGCCCTGGGTTTGATCCTCAGCACCACATAAAAATAAATAAATAAAATAAAGGTATTGTGTTCAACTATAATTAAAAATAAATACTAAT